GATCCACCTCTCCACAACCCCTGCAAGCTTCTGAGATACTCAAGTGTGCCTACACACACAGGTGTGTAGCAGAAATTCCTACATGCATGCCTCCTCACCCAGCAATGCTGCAGCTGTGTCCAGCTCAGTCCTTTCAGTCTGGCTCCCACCATGCAGCTCCTGCATTCTGTGAGCCTTTCATGGGACTGGTGAGGGAGGCCACTGCTAGAACTGACACCTATGCCAGCTGTGATGCCAAGGTGAGCAATCTGGACACCACTTTGACATGCTTTTCACTCAGCATTTGCATGTCAAGACTCATTAGCTCAACCAAAAAAAGAACACTAATTGGTTTTGATCCTTTCAGATTCTTTTGTTTGTCATACTGTGGTAACATGTACCTGTGATAAGAGCAGATCTGAGAAACTGCAGGGCTTCCTACCTGGCATCCCCAGCCTTGTGCTGCTGCTGAGCACTCTGCCTCCAGAGTGGAGCAGCTGCAGCTCAGAGTGCGTGCCCATGGCCCTGTCAGTGCAGGCTGCCTGGCACAGCTCTGCCATACGTGACCATCACGCACGCTTAGCGAGCCTTCAGGGCACGCTCGCCAAGAGCTGCTGGTCATCTAACATTTCATCAATGAATCCAGAAGAAAAACCACGTTTTTCCAGAATTTGCTGGGACAGAGTCATGGGGTGGGTCAGCCTAGTGCTCTGCTACCTCTTGGGCCTCATGCTTCCTAGTGGCACATGCATGCAGAGAAGAGCATGGTACTGGGAAGGACACTTGGTCAGAGCTATGTTGGAGCCAGTGACAGCTACACAAATTGACTCTACTACAGGCCACAGCTCTTGAAGCTGTGGGTGCCCACGTCTGGAAAAAAGCAAGAACATTACATGGCTTCCTTTCTCCTTCAAACTGAAGGATGTGTAAAGTACATAAATTAAAGAAAAAGAAAACCAGAAACCCCATTAGCTAAGACCCCATTAGCATAGCAAAGCATTTATCAACATCTGGTAACTGCTAAGACCTGGCACAGTGAGGCCATCGTACCTCCCTCACCCACCATGCTGCTGCCTCCCATTGCGCTACCCGCACTGCAGCACCAAGAGGACTCAGTCACAGGGAGTCAAGGAGGGGTGACAGATTGTGAGCTCCACGTACCCTGGTGCTGTTTCTTTCCTCACCATCTCCTTCCCAAGTGCCTCAAGCACTGTTGTTGTTGTACCAACTGCCAGTCCAATCAGAGAACTTCTCAGGCATCTTGGAAAGAACAGTCACTCTCTGGCCCCATAACGCCAGAGCCCCAATTGTTTTTCTACTTCAACAGTGATCAAAGAAAACTTCTGATCTGCTGATCCAGTCTTGAGACATCCAGAGCTCTGCAGTCAGTAGAGCTGCCTAACAATAATATCTCCATAACTGAACCTTGAGACACGATGATAAACAAACTCAGTGTCCGCAGTATTTTGTGTCTTCTTTGTTGTCACAGTCTGAGAGCATTTAACTGAAGGCTTCCTCGACAAGTCAGAATTCCCCTCATTCATGCAATCCTGATTCTGGCCTCTACTGACTTAGTCTTACAGCAGCATTTTTCCTCTTCACCTTTCAGATTTAATTTCTTAGCCTGTGTCAGCAATGTATTTGATAAAATTATTGCTGGAGTGTCAAGTACTGGAAAACCCTCCATCTAACCAAGCCTATAACAGAGTTCAGTGCTGAAACTGCCTGAAGGCACTTCATGGGGTCGATTTCTGCAAGGGTTTAGTAATGATTCACTGCTCCACAGGGCCTTGAAGTAAAGGATTAGCAGGGCACCCCAAACCCCAGCACTGGACTGTCTGTCTCCCCTCCTTGCAGCCCCTAAGGATCATTTGCTTCCCATCTCCACCTCCCCCATGAAATAGTGAGGCCACAGAGGATGGATGGAGGCAGGAAATCCTCTGTCCTCCCCAGATGACCACCTTCTACCAGCAGTGGCTTTCAAAGATGCTCCCCAAGGAGGAGGAGTCCCCCTATGAAGACTATGGACAGAAAGTCTTTTTGAGGAAATCAGTTTGTAAATCTCAGGTGAAATATTCCCAAAACCAGAAAGTACTGTCAAGAAGCACCATTTCCAGCAGCATGGCATGAATACTCCATGGTCTTACTCATACTGGCTGCTCATGACAGAAAGATGTCCCAGCAGATGTGAGTGAGCCATGGCTGCCACGTTTTGGGAGATGGGTCAGGCACAAGTCCCTGCTTCACATGTGCAAGGGTGGGAGTTTTGGGTTTCCCCTCAGTAGCTGTCTGTGCATCCAGAGTACCTGGGATGGAGCCCACCAGTATGCCAGTATGAGGCCAAGGGCTGCCCTGATGAAACCCTTGAGACCAGTCAGGCCTGAGCACATTCACACATCCATCACCTGAAGGAAACACACCTGTCATGTCTTTCTAAAGTCCCCAGCCCAACTACAAGCACTTCTGGCATGAATATAGATATAACATCTGCTGAAATCTCATGTTTGATCTTCTCAACATTATCTGAATTAATGTAAGTCACACGATTAATGCTGCTGAGGAAACAAGTAAAAGTAATGTGATTGCAGGAGAGTAGGCAGAGTGGGTGAAGAACCCAATGCCAATGAGCTGCAGTTCCCTCACTGGGCACACACACTTTTTTAGCCAAGCCTGATGGTGTCCCAACAGCTAGTGTAACTCAGCACACCTCTGCTCCAGATGCATCACCAGCAATGGTGGTCAAACCCTTGTTTCTTATCTCTTCAGCAAAGGCACTGGACAGACACAGCCCTTCCTGAGCTCACAGAGAAGGTGCATGTGCTTAGAGTGGAGACAATGCACACCCCTTGGCCAGGGTCATGCACAGGGTCCCAGGGACAAGAATGCCCTTTCCAGTATTGTCCAAGGAGTGAAAGCAATCATGGGGTATGCAGAGAGTTATGAACCCAAATCAGGGCTTCAGAAGATTCCTTGTATAAATTTTCCATGTTGTTATTTGTCTTTTGTTAAAAACAGGTGTGTTTAATAATTAATTGCCAGAAGAATAAAAGTAGCACTTATTTCACTGATAAGTTTATCACAAAACTTAGTTCTGGGTTAGTTTAAAGACTCTGGCTAAAATCCCTGATGGGGTCTGTGAACATCAGGCTGAAATGTCACTGAGCTAGTGGGACCTGGATGTCTCCATGCTGAGGATTGGAACACATCTGCCCTGGAAACTTGGAAGTGATGGCTGCATTTCCATACCATGAGAAGATGCCACTGGAGTGGGAGAAGGAATCTCTCAGCAGATCAGTAGCCACTACAGATACCAGATATGCAGCACAAGTCATGAGGTGGGAAGGGAAGAGAGAGAATAGTGTTAACTCAGCAGCTGCCAGAGGAAGGTTTGTACTGCTGGAACCTGGTGAATGCCTGCTTGAATGTTCCTCCACAGGAGTGCACCTCAAGTTTGACAGCAGCAGCCTTTCTTCTGCAGGCAAGCACCAACAGAAGAGCCCAGGCAGCTCTGGGTGGATGAGGATGGTTGGGTTGGGAGTAAGGAGGCTACAGCCAGGTCTTCATCTCAACAGGACCAGGGGGCTTCTCCATTGCCCTCAGGAGGGAAGGGATGGGGTCATGCTCATCATCTTTATGTGGCTGGGGGTGTCTGTGCCTTGGTCTGGGCTAGGGGGAGGCTTCAGGGAGAGATCAGCAGTTCTCCTGACTCCATGGGGAGGCAGTGATTGGTGTAGCTGCTTAGTGGTCATTCGTAGCTGCTCTGCTCTCTTAATTTAGCCCCCCACAAGGTGCATATTGAAACGTGTGACTATTAGTGCTTCCTATTCAAGTAGGAGGGAAGAAACACAGAATTAGCAGGGCAACAGTCCCCTCAGGCATGTCTGGACTACAGTGCTGGAATCTGCAATGCCTTCACAGAAATGTACAGACACCCTGAAACAAGTAATTTCCCTCTCAGCTTGGCTTGCAATGTGAGTGCAGCTGCCCTCATGCCTGGTACCCCCCACTCAATATATGCGCTTAACAAAAATCATAACCACAGTATTTCTCTGCCTTCCCCTTGGGGTTTTCATGACTGGGATTTAGCACACAATCTGCAGAGATATATGTAAGGTGTCTACTGCTATTTAGGAATTCCTTCCTGGAATTAACTTGAAACCAGTAAATTTGTTCCAATGTTTAGTATGATGACAAATGAACAGAAATTAATATTAAGCAGTAAAGTATCACAAAATTGCCTATGTCTTTCAGTTGCCCATGTGTTTGATACCAGCATATAGCATGATCACACACAACTGTCAAATAGGATGCTCTATATAGAAACAACATCAGCCCAAAATACAGCCACAATGAGTGTTAACCTGGTTCAAAGTTGCTTAAAGCTTACTGAGTTCTTTGAATCAGTGCACCAATTTCAAAACACACTTTTGGATGTGTTTTGACTTCATTTTTGTACAGTGTTGCTCTTTATGCTTAAGCTACTCTTACAGTAATACAAACAAGCAAATATTTACAGTGGTGTGCTTGCGTAAAGTTGAGCAGACTGATTTTTCTTTGCCACACACAAAAAAAAAAAGAAAAAAAAGAAAAAAGAAAAAAAATAAAAAGTAAAGAAGAAGAAGAAGAAAAGAAAATTGCCTTAAGTCTCACAGCCTGTTTCAGTGTGCAGCAAGAGGGAGCTGCCCCAAGGGGAGCTGCTCGCACCTCTTCCTTATCCCCAGATACAGCCATGGCACCCGCAGGCGATTAAAGCAGTAGCCAGCCGGCTGCAAAGAACATGAAGCTACCACACATTTTTGACCACACAGAGCTTCAGGAGTGCCACTTCCTCCTGTTTCTCTGTTTGATTCAGGACCCAACCAGATTCAAGAATACAATAATCAGTTCAACAAGCTTTAAGAGCAAAATTCCAATTATCATGTTCCTACTAGGTACTTTCTCCTTCCCTTTTGGCGAGGCTGGCATGGTGGCAGCAAGACGAGTCGCATGTGCTGTCAGTGCCGATGCCCGGAGCTCCGGCGTCAGTGGCGGTCGTAGGCGGCGGCAGCAGCTGGTGCGGCTGCTCCACGGGCTGTAGCGCTGTAGTAGTAGGGGGAGCCTGTGAGAGATGAGACCACTGTGAGCAAGACAAAGGTGGAGAGGTGCCAGCTTGCAGTGTTCTGACAGTGGGTGACAGAGAGCACTCCAGCCAAACCTTCAATAAAGGCTGGCTAAATAGAATGAAAATTACATTCATTCATTCATTCTGCATGAGAAGGAGGCTACCACTGCTCTGCATTGCTACTTGCCATTCGATACCTTCTTCCATTCCTTCACTCAAAACATCAACTTCATTTACTTCATGAAAAGAAGTTAATTACTTTTCAGAACAGAAAATCAAGATATTCCAACCCCAACATACTACCATACTCTGACTTCTTTTAATTTCCCCCCTCCTTTTAGAAGGAGAAGGTTGACCCCCAAAGTATTCAAAGTATTTCAATGAAAGCACTTGTTTACCAAGAAAAGGCCTGAAAAATATTGGTGAAAATTGTCTGTCCTGCAGGGCTAAGCACTGGTGGATCGGATGATTACCCAAGGATCACCAGGAACCTGGACTATTTGTTTGAATGAGGAAGAGTCTTTGGTATCCAGAGAGATACCAATCTGTCCAGCCAGCACCAGTTTTAAGAAACCTTCCAAGCACACCTGCAATGAAAGCAACTCCAATCCATCCTAAGAAGGGAATTTTCTCTCTTCAAGGTGCTACCAGTTTGGTCTGCAAGTCACCAGTTTCACATGCAAGGGATGTGAGGCACATCACAGTGTGGAAGAACCCCTCTGGAAGGACTCATACTCAGCCACATTCATCTGAGACCATCAGAGAGGTTTGGATGAGCAACAATGAGCCAATGCAAGTAACAGCTCTGGAGTAGTAAGGGTTTGTTTTCATGAGTGGCCCTGTCTGAGAGCTGCCTTCCATCCTAAGCTCCCTGCCTTCCACACACATGAGACAGCAGTCTATCAGACACTGTCAAACGTCTTCACAGCCCTGGATGTGACTTGCTGCAGAAGCAGTGACTTCTGCTGCTTCAGTGACACAGAGGAGCTGGCCCCACCAGGAAAAGGTGATGCCACCACCTGTGAGAGTCTGTCCAAATTTTCCCTCATCTGCCTCACGATTGTCATTGGGGGACCACTGAAGAGAAGACCCCCCCGCCTAGAATCCCTGGCTCTGAAGGAGAAAGTCACAAGCCAAAGGCCCTGAGACCTGAGAGCACAGTGTTAAGCTATTGTTTTCACAGGTGTTGTTTGCTGTATGCCAAAAAGGGGGCACCGTACCCTTTTTGCAACAGTAGCCTTGGGAGCTGTCCCACCTCTCAGCCTGGCTGGATTTCTCCTGAGTTTCAGGTGGTCCCCCCACAGCAGACCCTCACCTGTTTTACAACCACCGTGACAGACAGACTGAGATGTGAGGAGCCTCTCCATCAAGGACTGAGACACGAAACCCCCATGTGAAAAGGGGCCTGTCCTCCTTCCAAGGACTGGGACAGACACCCCCAGCCTGGGGCAGGTGTGTGGGGGAGGCAAGCTGACCAAAGCGAGATGTTTGCCTGCAGGGTGTGACCGCTGGACCAAGAACACAATGGCTCTCATTTACTGCTGAGAGCATGGACTAACTGTTACATCTATGCCTTATTGTATCTGTTCCCCTCCCTCCTCACAATTTTCAATAGAATTATCATAATAAAAACCTCTGAGTTAGATAGAGATTTTGAGATCTCCCCAGCGTAACATGCGGATCCTCGGCTGGACTGGACCAAAGGACTTGGTCTCTACGTTTGGTAGCTTTATCCCCCTCTTTCTCTCTCTCTTATCTCTCTCTATCTTTTTCTCTCCCTTAATCCCTCTATCGCATTTTGCTGTGGTCATTCAATAAAGGTGCATTTGTTTTGATTATCACTGCAAACCCTCTTGTACCGTTTCGGTTTTTGCACCCTGAGATCACTCCTACAAACCATCACAACATCCGTTCACTAGGACGGATTGTGACACGACCTCAGTGGGGACTGTGGACTCCTTAGGAAAGCATCCATGGCAGTGAAGCCAAAGGTGCATTTTTTGGTTGTTTACTTCCCATCCCAGACTAGCAAACACTGCTCCTGCAGGTCCAGTGGTTGCCCAGTCCCTAAGGCATAGCCTGAGTGTAGCAGTGCCCCAATTGTTCTCCTACCATGGCCCCGCACACTCTCTGGAGCTGGAAGGGGAACCCAGCTGGCATGCCTGGTACTGTTGGTAACATGCTCTGAGCTGAGCCAAAAGCCTTCCCCTCTGGGAGGCTCGAGAGCTTCCTGCTGTCTCCTCTTACTGTACAGCCTCCCAAGGAACACTTTGCTGTTCACTCCAAAATTACCTGAGTGATTACTTGAGGGCTGCTGGTTCAAAAGCCGAGGCACAGAGTAAGAATCACACAGGGATTTTAGGCTACCCTAATCCCTAAAATCAGGGAAAGTTGCTGTTAACCATTAGCAAAATGCAGGGCTACCTCACTGCTGTGGGTCCAACAGGCTCAATCTGACAGGCAAGCCCAGCTGTTCCTTCTAGGCTCCTTTTGTCCAGAGTGCCGTCAAGAGATCAGCTCAGCTTTCATCACCAGCCTCCAGCTTTTCATTTCCAAGGGAGCACAAGCTGATGCATCCAAAAAACAGAGCACAGGCAGCATTTGGTCTTGCCCAATATGTGCAATGTGCTGCTCAGCACAGTTGGTCGGAGAAGAAAACTTTGTAATGATCAGTATCCTACCACGGCATGTGGCACTCTGATTCTGGAACCTTGAGGGGTCAGAAACAGAGAACTTTGGCTACTGGAATGTGTCTCCTCCACTGTGCTGTGGCAAAACAGGAGCTTGTACACAGTGTGTGGGTCTGTGTTGCATCCTTACTGATGCAGACATCCAAAATCAGACAAACCCACTGTGAAGGGTTTAAACAAAGTAAAGCAATCTTCAGAAGTGTGGTCCTAGCTGACCACAGCTGTGGTCAGTTTTACTGTGCACAAGAATACTCAAGAGAGTCTGTGAAATCACAGACCAGGATAAACACTTGCAAAGATGTCTTTATACAAACTCCTAGGCAGGAGCCAATCTGACCTAGGTTTATTTACTAAAAGCAAAAATATTTTAAGCCATAGTCAATGGCGTTAAAGCAGATCCCTTCAGCAGGTCATCATTCCACTTATATTTACACAAGTGCAGTCTTGTGTTATCTGTTGAGGGCACCATAACTGCTATCCTGGGCTGAACAGATAGTCTTCTTCCAGGTAACTGACATCAGGTTAAGGAGCCCCAGCCTCATGAGCTATATTTCCTGGAGAATACTGGAAAGCTTCACAAGGACAGTGAAAGCCATTCTTATGGGTAGCCTAAAATTAAATGCTGTATACTTCATATCCCAGCCAAACTCAAGCCATTGAAAGCAGAGAAAACTTCCCTGGTTGAATTGGCTACTCTTGAATGAGCAAAGGCAAAAGTTAACAGCTTATCAGACCTTGAAATGTGCATGTCATGTCTAGCTGGGGTTTTGAGGATGTTCTTTGGGAGCTGCCCTCTTGGGATGCTGAGTTTGTTGGCCCATGTCCCCTCATGGCCAGTCCAGCTGCACAGACATCCCTGGGGATCATGGCAGGCAGTACCTTGAAGTAAAACAGCTCACAGGCCAGTGAAGAGGCAGGTGGAACTGCTGTCCTCACCCATCACAGCACCAGGAGCTCAGTGTGGAGCAGGCAGTGATGGTGGTCATCAGAGATCCCAGTCCCCACTGGCATCAGCACTAGCAATAGTGATGGCAGCTCAGCTCAGGCAGGAGGAAAAACACACAGGTGGAATCCAGCAGCACCAAACAACTACACTCTGACTCATGGAGCAGTGTGTGGGTCCCACCAGAGCTGGATGCAGTGCTTTCTGAGGTTTTGGGGTAAATGGGGTCTTTTGGGGGTCAGAGCCTTTTCACACTCCCTCTTCCTCTACATCTGTTCTGACTCAATGCGGCTACAAAAAGCCCAATATTTCTCCCATGCATTCCAAAGGCCTTACATTTCTCTCAAGTTAGATTTTGCCAGTTTGCCTTTCAGCTGTGCAATCAAATAAGCTTGTATTTAAAGTGAAAAATGAAATCACTCACTCTTCCTGTCACCATGCCCCCATCCAGAACAGACTAGTCCATCCTTCTGTCATTTTTCCTTTCTAATTCATACTATCATCAATTTACTTCTTGACACAGTCATTTCTAGTGCCTACTTGTTCTCTAATCTTTCCACAGAATCCCACAGAGGAATTGAATCTAATCCTAATTGAGAGGCTCCAAGCCCTGCCCTTGCATGATGCCTTGCCAGAAGTGGCAGACATGGCCCAGTGATGGTGCGGCCAAACCCCCCCAGCCCGCGCACAGGGATCACACTGCGTGTGAGCAGGGACACTGCATCACACAGAACCCACAGTGAGCAGGGTTCAGACAAATGCTGCAAGCCAACAAAAACTGACTTGTTTTTCTTCATTAGACAGTGTTGCTGTTATCTGTCCTTACCATGCACATGTTGAGCTGATCCTATGCTGGTGTGCACCAGTATGTGCCAACAGCCTGAGCCCTAGACATGCACATTTGCCTCCCATGCACTCATGCATGTGCCTCCGTGTGCACCCCTGCACTGTACTGCTTGCAGGTCATTTGCAGGACAATATGGGGGAAAAAAGAAAGGAAAAAGATGTTCCTTCCCTGAACTCTTTGTCTGGCTAAGAGATGGAGATACCCACTTCAGCCACTAAGCCAGACCACACAAGTGGCCAGAGTTTATGTCCTCTTCCCAGCACAGTCCCCCAGGAACTTGGGGACTGTCTTCACTCTTGCTGTGGCTGAGGTGGGACTGAGTCATCCCCCACAGCAAACATTCTCTCTGACACCCAAAGAGGTGCGGGCGCCACCAGGGTGATGCAGCATGCAAGAGCCTGAAGACACTGCAAAGCTGCAGCAGGTAAATGACTTCTTCTGCCCCTGCTTCTGTTGACCATTCTAAAGGACCGTGGCTTGATTGTCTGCTCTTCCCCAGGAGCCATGGGGCACAGAATTTGGGGCTGCCCGGAGAGGAGGGAGCACATTCCCCCGTCTGCACTGGTTTCATGACAGCTGGGGCAGGAGAGGCTTGGTGTGTGGTGCAGAGGTGAGAAGCATCAAAGCAAGGGCAGAGCAGACAGCAGGGTAATGGTGAGTAGCTGTGTTCTGCTGGGGCCAGACAAGCAATTCCCGGTGTCTGCATGAGCATGGTTCTGCCTTCCCCTGAAGACACCACCACGCACCCCTCCTTGCTACTCCACACAGACACAGGACAAAGACTGGGGACTAAAAACCAAAGCTTTCTCAGTATTCTCACCTCTCTCTTTTTACTCTCCCCCAAATATAATTTTTCAATCCAAGTATCCTTTCCTCCACTTGCAAATCATGGCATTTCTGCTTTTAGCTCCTCTTTCACAGGTCTCAGACTTGTGTGATTGCTGTGGTGCAATTCTTCCTTCTCAGCACAGGGAATTAATTGAACGTAGGTGCTGCTAAGTGCTTACAGTATTACACTTTCATCTCAGTGAAAGGAGCAGGACTTTGTAAAACAAACTGTGTCAGGCAATGTACCAGTCCTGATTAATTTTGTCAAGGTTTCTGCTCTGAGGCTGATACTGCCAGAGCTTGTTCTCGGGAGAGAATTACTAAATACACTCACGTATACTCCTGAGAGGAGTGGAAACATCCTGGATATAGTTCAAATTAACCTATTCTCCACTGCGTGTGCCCAGGCTCATCACACAGCACCTTCTGAGTGTGCAGGGAGACTTGGGGCAGGCTTAAAGGCCCTGCCACAGACTCCTACTTGCCCTAAACTACCAGTGGGATTAGAAGGCACTAGGGAGAAGGGATTGTAGGATCAGGCTTCGAGTGACAAAGGTAGAGCTGTGGATAAGAGGGATCTCTGTAAGGCACAAGAGACATCTGACCCATTGACTGTAGTTGACTGGAGACACATTCTTGATCAGATCATACCAGGGTACTTTGACCTACCCATGGTCAGACAGGGGATTCCCTCTCCAGGAAACTCCAGCCCCCCCAGTTCTGTGATCAGACTGAACTGAAATGGTAAGTTCATCTTTAGGACCTGCTGCAGAACAAAAACTCACATTCCCTTTTTTTTTTTTTTTAAATGCTGAAACAAAGTATATTGAAGAGGACAAAAATAAGGAAGCCAGGATTATATATTTTACATTTTCCAACAGAAAAAAAAAATCAGCATTGACATTATAGCATGAAACACTTCAATTGCCAGAAAGCTACAGTTTCCGAAAAAATATTATAGCCTCTGATTCTTTTTGCCCTTGCCTCATTTAAACACATGTTCACAGCATGTTGCTGGGTAAATGCATGAAGAAATCTGCTGAAGAAATCCCCTCCAGCCAGAGAATAAGCTTTGCTGTAAGAAGTGCACTATGCCCATAACTGTTCATATGTCAAAGATGAGTCAGAATTTGCCCCCAAAATGCATGATCCAAAAAGGAAATGAGAAAAAGAGGATCAATGTAGAAAAAAGGATATGGCACAGGTAAAAGGTCCTGCTGGCAAGCAGTTGTCTCATGACTGGCCTTGGTATAAAATCTTCTGCTGACCCAGACCTACCCATCTTCAGCATCTTCAAGGCATCACAGAGACCTACCCTGCCCAGCACTATGGACAGCATGCTCAGAGCTGGTGCAGGTCCATCGCCTCCAATAAAGAGCTGAGCAGGCCATGGCTGCAACCCACTGCTGACAGAATGGAAGGGCCACTGCCCACACTGGTGGGGTGGCTCAGAAATGGCTTTGGGATGGCTCCAGAAAGAGTGCACACCCTTCTAATGGAGGTGAATATCCCCAGGCAGGAACATAGTACACAGCCCAGGAGCCTCTCCAGAAGTCCTGTCTTAATGCAGAAGAGCAGGATGAGAGCTGGGTTGTCATTTACTTTTAGTATCATGCCAATTTCTTTAACACTTCAGAAGGAAATTATTTTTTTAAGGTTTTTTTTGTTGTTGTTGTTTTACACAAAACCGGGCTTCCCAGGCCTATCCATGATGCAGGGCATTGCTGAAGCAGCTTTACTGATTCAAAAGGAGTTGCAAAATGAGAAATGAAGAAAGCATGGTGTGTCCTCTTGCCTCTGGCAAAAGCATCTTCCCCATGCTGCTCAACCAAAATTCTGCCAGCACCACTGGCTGTGGCCATGGAAACAGTGGGTTTAAGCACAGGGACTCCCCTGGCTTTGTGCAGCTATGCCCATCCATATTAGCTGAAGATCTGTCTGTTGATTTATGATGGAAGCGCTAACAAACCCTTAAATGTGGCACAGCAAATAACAGCATTATACCAGCACCATGGCATGAGAGGCAGAGGCTGTCTATTGCTCCCGAAGGATTTGTTTAAGGACAAGAACCATGATGAATACAGCCTGGGTGGTTCAATTACATGGGGACTCAATTACTTAAAACAAAGAAACTGGATGAAAAAAGTATGACAAAAATTCAAAATTATTTCGCTGCTGGAGGTCACATATAACAGCCCTGTCATCCATAAATCTGGAAATCTCTAAGGCATGCTACTCCTGTGTTGAGAGATGACAATTAATTGGTATTTTACTTACCTCATCCATGCAAATTATGCAGGGAAAAATTCTAATTACAGCATGCTACATGTATATAAGGTCAAAGTGGGCCAGCTTTTGACGGGGTGTAAAATGGATTATGTTTATCCTTCACATGAGGGCCATGATCCTGCAGGAGTTACAGAGCTTCTGTCTCCCATTGCTCATAAGGACCATGCTGGCATCAGTGAGGCCGTACCAGTGGTCCCTTGCTGAGGAGAGATGGAGTGGGCATACAGACAACTGGGAAGCAAACACAACATGAGATCAGGGAGAAATGCAAAGCACACACACAGGCAAGCAGCAATGTCATAGGAAGCAGTGGAGCTCAGAATTGCCTGCAAGCAAACTGGCACCACAAGCTTTGTCTGAACAGGGTCCCATACCCTCAAAAAACTTGGTGACCCTGCTTTCCAGCAATACCCTATGTCTCTGGAAGGATTTTCATCAGAAGCAGAAAGACAAGACATTTGGGCCATCTTGTTGGCAAAGTGAACCAAGAGCAATCATGCATCCCAATGGGGACCTGCAGTCCCATTCTGGGTCTAAACATGACTGAGGACAAGCTGGGACACACATTCTGCCCATCCCAGGGCTGGACAAACACTGCACATCTTGCACTGATCTCTCTAAACAGGGGTGAACACTTACCCAGGAGTCCAGGGTTGGGAAACCTCCAGGAGTCGTTGTATGTTGAATATTGTGGGTGGCTGTATGGGCTCCCAGAAAACTCGCTCCCTAAGTTAAAGAGACAAAGACAGAATAAAAGGTCATTTGATTTGAGATGACAGTTACCATTCTGAGTAAAGGGGTTCTCCAGTGTGTGCTCTGCTCTACTGACAGCCACAGTAAAAGCACTGGTGGACACTCTGCCTTGAGAAAGGGGAATATGGAATAAAGGATTAAGTAAATGGGTGCAAACATCTTTTACGTGTCTTTTTTGTGCTGCAACCCAGGCCTCTGGGACACACTGATGGGGCTGGCCTTTGCCTCTCCAGCCCTACAGGACTCAGGTGAGAAGCACAATACAAGGACAGGGCTGTCCAGATGGTCTCTGCTGCAAGAGAAGATGTACCAGACAGTTTCTAGATATTGGATTCCCTTCATGGAAAACTTGTCATGGTCCCAGATACTTCTCCAACACTGTAACCCAAGGAAAGGGATGTTTGCTTTAGTTTCAGACAGATTTGAACCCTCCAGACAAAAGCACAAAAAAGGCTTGAAAAATTGTGGCTATTTATCTCCCCATCAGGTCCCATTCTTCCTGTCTGTTTGTTCTCTTCATATGTCACCTGCTTCATACTTCAGCTGCAAGCTCTTCAGAACAGAGCCTTACAATACGGGGCTCTGACCTGGCCCCTCCACCACACAAATGCCAACACTGCTGCTGTTTCATTAGGAAATGTTCCTTGAATTACAGATTTCCTCCTCTCTCTCTTTGTTCCTCCTTCCCTTCTCCCTCTCCCACATGTAAATATATAAAAGCACAGCACATCAGGAGAAAGGGTATGTTTCCTAAGGCAAGATTTGAGGGCTGACAGGCCACAGCAGATGCTTGCCATGACGTTTGCCTGCTTTGGTCCTTGGCACTGGCATAGCCATGACCCACATCCAGGAGCTGCCATAACCCCAGGTAGGCAGTGGACCCCTGACAGTGTGTCCTGAGCAGCTCAAGCACCCTTGTCCCGTACAATCTATAGACCCAACCTGGAAACCACATCTGGGTCTCCTGGCCAGTGAGTAGCCATGGTTTAGGCCGTTTGCTGGCACACTGGTGCTAGGGAAGAGGGGATGATGCTCTGGTCACCAACACATATGGTAAGGCCCAGGATGGCTTGATCTCCACATGATTCTGCTTCAGAGAAAACAAGCTGCCTCTCTGCCTGCACCACGAGATGAACAGACTGAGTGTGCTGACGGCCGGACCAGCCCATCACTAGTCTGCTACAGGAAGTCTCTGTTAGCATCTCTGCCTTGTTTCTTTTCTGCAGCCCTTTGGACCCATGACACTTACTAGGAGCAACTCACTCTCTCTCCCCAACACAGCTTCCATAGAGAGAAGGGCCAAAATATGCAGCAGCAAGCACTTCCACACTTAGCACACCTTGCTGTGCCAACATCTCTTCACAAGCTCAGAGTAGGTTTTCCTTATTGCCTCTAAGGAATGGCAGTACTTCACCCTGTGCCAGGAAAAACGGAGCTGTTTCAAACCTTTCTTCAGAGGGAAGCACACAGTACCTACAATTCTTCTCTGCTCCTGTCCCTATGGCTGATGGATGACTTCAGTGCCTGAAGGTTACCTCTGTCAGAGTGCTCATTCTAAAAGAGTAAGGCATAGCAAAGTTGACAACGCCCAAAGAGATGCTCAACATACTGCAGCCACTCGACCTACTGCAGCCAGTGGCAAGAGCATCCCCATTGCCTTCCACCAGACAGGGATCCATCTCTCTCCTGCACAGGACACAGCAGCTTCTCTTAGGTCCTTTCTGCCCCTGCATCAAAACACTTGAACCTGTTGTCTCACCCAGAGTCCTCCCTGATTTTTCCCTGCTTCTATAGCTCCTGGGCATCCGGCTCATCTCTGGCTCAGCCTGTGTTTCTGGTATTTGCCCAAGCCTGCAAAGCACACAGGCAGAGGTCTGTCTGGTAACTTCACTTGTGAGAGTCACAATGTTTCCCAGGCCTGAAGTCACAGTCACATTCTCCTGCCAATGTGTGGCACACTGAAATCCTTTCATTCTCCAGGTGCCTGTTCTACAACAAGGCTATCACACACCACCTTCCCCAGGGGTCGCATTTCTTCCTTTCCACAGGGAAGTGAGATTTTGAAAGGTTTAGCTCTGGTTTAGTTGCGCAAAACAGCTGTGCTGCCTGACTGACATGACACACAAAAGCAGATGGGAGTGAGTCTTGCTGCTACATCCTTCCGGAGAGCTGTGCAGAGCATGGAGGCAGGGACAGAGGGGACAGGACAGGAGATGTAGATCGTTGTTCTGGGCTCTTTGCACAGAGTGCACAGAAAAGCTTGTCCTGTCATTCCTGCACCAGGAGCGCTCCAGGCTTGAAACAAAGCTCACAATGAGCTGTTTTATGCCTGCAAGAGCTTCATCCCAAGGGGAAGCATTCTCCCCTTGGACAACATGACACCTCATTTTCAGCTCTTCCAGCACTCTCCTTTCCCTTGATCCTTTCCTCCCTTCTTCCATCCCTCTCTCCCTCCCCTGTCCTACTCTCCTGGAGCTGCACAGACACAGTCCATTCCATGCTGATGCTGTGCATGCCATGGAGTGGGCAGCAGCACTTTCCAAGCATTTATCAGTGCTGCAGCAGGGCTGTGGGTGGGAATGGGCTGACATTTCATTGTTTCATCCTCTCCTGTCTTGCCCTCCTCCCCCACCATCCCCACTGCCCTCCTCCCCACACTCACACACAGACACACATCGTGGACCCTCTCTGGGGGATGCTCCAGTGCCTGTCAGGCTGAGGCTTCCAATTCTCTGTTTTTTATGCCTCAGTGGTCAGGGTGTCAAGCTCCTGCAGTACAGACCAGCCAGAAGCCCGAGGAGTCACTGAGCACCATCAGCTCAGTGACAGTATTGCTCGCTTCTTAACATACTCTGCATATCCATCAGCCTTGCTGGAGCGGGGGGAGGGGGAAAAGAAAAAGAGAGAGAGAGAGAGAAGGAGGGAAAGAAGGAAAATGAGAGGAAAGAAACATAGAAACATGGAAGAAGGGAGGGGAAAAAGAGAAGTGGGGGAGAAAATTGCAAGCCCTGTTATTACCACCACAAGACTTGGGCAGACAAATGGTACAGCCCTAAGTGAAACTAAGGTAGATGAATGAACACTGCATGACTGCTTCACAAATTTCACCAGATATTCCAACGTCCATCAACTACACTTCTTGACAGCACTTCTTAGCAGACAGCCCTTGCCCCATTCAAAAACAAACACCACGGATCAGCCATCCAAGGATGCACACACGCGCAGTATGTTGCGCACACTGACTGTCACAACATGAGCAAAGGGTGGGAATCACACACATCCCTCCTTCATGTAATATGAAGTGAGCTTTCTCCTCTGTAGTTCTCACCTCCATGAAACACAAAGACACAAAACAAAGGATTCCTGTGAGAGTTAGTTCACCTCTTTGCCACAAACCTGTCTCTACACTCCACATACAGCTTTAGCCCTAAAGGGGTCAGACCGTTCCATCATGCCTCCAGAAGTAGAGGTAAGGAGGGGAAAGAACAAAGACTGATTCCCAATACCACTGCTGCTACAAACCAGTGGCAAGCCCCGGGAGATGCATTCCACCCTGAGACAGTGGGACAGAGATAGACAGTCGGATGGTGCTGGATGGGCCTTCTGCTGCTGCAGAACAGTACTGTCCCCTCTGCTGCATTCTTTCTCTGGGACCATCAACTCATGTTTACCAGTCTTCTTGATTTTAAGGTAAGCTTCCTAAAAGTTTTCTTTCTGAATTGCAGAGAAGCTGAAAAGCATGAGTGTAAAAATTTCAAGAATGAAGAGATAAATGAAAAAATATCACCATGTTTTTCATACTCCTGTGGCTTTAGAGAACTGCTGCTGCAGGCACATCCATGTACCAGTAGTGGGAATGGGCCAGGAGGGTAAGGAAAAACTTCCTGCCCTGCAGAAATGCAGAAGGATGTCAAAGCATGACCAGCTCTGACAGAGGCCATGTTCAGCCAAGGTGTGGAAACTTCTTCAGCCAGGATGGAAAAAGCCTGACCACTGTCATTACACTACATCATTCAACATGTAGAGTGTCTGGCTGCAGCCCTATGAAGCACAGCAGTCATGAGTCCTGGGACTTCGTGACAGCACCAGCAGGAAACAGCAAATTAGTCAAACGTTTTTGTCCAGCAGATGGTAGTTTTGGATTGAAATGCAGAATTTGAGCAAATAGTCTGCGAAGGAGCTTCATATGCCATTTCTGGGTATAACACATAAATCTCAAAAGACCTCATGAATCAGAAGCTCCAGAGCCAGTACAGTGCAACAGGAATGTTGGAGGTTAGGACTTTTTCCTTTTTTTTCCTTCTCTGAGGGAATTTTCTCCTATTTCTTTCCTCTGAGATGATAACTACGATACTTAAGAGACAAAAGATGTGGCTTGGAGGAGGAGGAGGGGAAGGGTGCAGTTTGCCGCCACCTCTAAGCTGGGGGGCTTTCTCTCAGGAAGTGCACAGATACTGCAAGATTTTGGCTGGGGGTGAGGGACTGGGCCCAGCCTTAGCTCTCTCGCTCACTCTCAGGATCAGAGGAGGGAGGTCATGGTCTTGGTGCCAGGCTGCTGCTGTGGGGAGAATTTGCCGCCACTGCAGGGTTCTGTTCTTCACTGCTTCTCCTTCCCTTGTGTAAGCCTTTGCTTGTAGAAGCGGCCATTGAACTGGCACTTTTTCAACACTGGAAATGACCCTTCCCATCTGCTCAGGTGCCTTAGGGGAAAATCTGGGACCCCAACCCGTCCCCCCTCCAGAAGGAGCCTGGCTGCCACGGCCCAGTCCCGCTGTTTTCTGCCACTGCTTTGGGCTTTGTGTTACACTTTACCCAACAGCCTGTGTCTGCCGAGACCCCCACAGCTCCTGGCATGGCTTCTGAGCTCTTGCTACACTTTGTTTTGCCACCCCGGATATGCTCGCCCCTGCTGTTCCAGCCTGAGGTTCCTGCTACAGTGCATTTCACCAGCCAGTGAGGCACTAAGACCGGCT